AAGTAATCTTGGATCAGCTGCTCCCAATAGGCCTGGAGGAAAGCCTGACCAATTTGGGTCCTCCACAAAGCCCGACGAGACTGCTCAATCGCAGTGACAACAGTAGCCTCGACCTCTTTCTTTCGACCAGCCCTCTCCACTTCAAGGGCTTTATCCTTGCCCTTCAACGCATCCTTATAGCGCTGCTCATCTTTCTTCAGTTGCTCAGTCAAGGCGTGGCGTGTTTTGAGCAGGTCCTCGTTCTCGGCCTTTAACCTCATATTCCCCTCCTCGAGGCGCCTGTTGTCGCCCTTGAGTACAGGAATTGGGCGACCAGTGCCATTCATCGTCTCCTCGAGGAGAGGCACGATGGAAACGAGAGTCTGTAGCACGGAGAAGAATGAGAAAGATGCAAAACAAGATACTCAAAGACAATGCCAAGAGAGAAATATACCTGTGTCACTGCACGAATGCCATATTCTGCTTGATTCCGATGATTCACCCCCCATCGGTGTGTATCGTCAAATGGTAAGAAGCTCATCAGCCGGGACACAGCCTCTCGAGGTCCCGCCGACACCAAGGAGAGAGGAAGAGCGTGTTGGGAGAGGGGATTTCCTGTAGAAGTCACCTCAAGCTGTGGTCGCTTGGGGGAAGTCGGGGAATTGGCAGATTGTGGACCAGTTACCTCGGAGCGAGGGCGTTTCTTGGATGCGTCGCTCTCTCTGGTCGACTGACTAGGGTGACGCTCGATCTGGCGCTCGACTTGCCTGGGCGGAGAAGAAGGAGCTCGTTGCTTGCTCGAGTGAGAGGAAGAGCCAGCGTTGGATTTCTTCGGCCGAGAAGCAGCATCCCTGGTTGAGTGCGGACCCTTAGCCTTCTCCACGGTGGCTGAGGCGTCCTTACCGGCAGACCTTCTGTCGCTAGATTTTTTGAGGTCGGGTTTGTGCAAAAATCTCTCTGTACCAACAAATTGCAAATCGAAGGAAGTTTAGTTGATGATATAAGAAAATAAATACAAGATAGACAACAATGTTAAAATCGAGCACCTGCTCGAGCTTTCAGATTAGCTTCAGCAAGAGCAGGGTCAACTCGGATTTGGAGAATAGTCTCGGCGAGAGGAGGGGAAAATTTTTTATGGGTCAAAATTCTACAATAGTGGAGGAGGTTATCATCTTCGAGTAAAGGGGTAGAAGCGACGGGATTCGAGTTCCACACTTGTATGCGGCGGTCAAAGATTGGGTTGGTAGGAGGACGAGCAGGTTTAAGGGGCACCTCTGTGAACCAAGGGGTGGGCGCCCAAGGGTAAGGCTGCGGGGGACATATATACACAAACTGATCTTTCCATCTCGGAACATTGAATGGTCGATCAGTAATGAAACAAGCTTTATTCTGACTTTTTAAATAGAGTCCGTCCGATTGTTTCGAAGCAAAATAGCAATAAACAAATAAATCTAAATCTACTCTACCCATGAGGACCATGGACAAAATGATAAAGGACGCTAATATCCTAAAGGCATTTGGGGTGATTTGGTTGAGAGGCAGACCATACAAACCGCACATGTCGATTAATGCCTGACAGATAGGGAAACAAAGGCCTAGGTCGAAATGGGATCGGAAGAAGGTGTAATAGCCATCAAGAGGGTTATCGTAGGTATCATCATCACCAGGGGTACGAGCAATCCCGGGATGACCAATCAAATCAAAGTCGAGACGGGTAGTGCTCGAAGATGATCTAGATGATTTGGACCGTTTGGATGACTTGGGTTGATGTGAGCAAGAAGGTATGGTCGAAGAGACATGGGCGTGAGAGGACAGAGAAACGAAGTCTTTAGGATCACGAGCAGACAGCGGGATGTGGTCCTGGGTATCGTCCTCGTCTTCGATCTCGTCATCTTAACCGATAGCTCAACAAACACGCTCGGCGGGAGGAGAATGAGGGCGGCTGGTAACCTCATTCTCTGGTTGGTCGACAAGATAGGTGGAGGGAGAGATAGCAGTGGCTGTAGGACTATCGCTGATCATTGCAGGGGAGGATGAAAATGGGCTCAGGCTGAAGAATTTCTTGTACAGAATCGCTCGATAGGCTGAGGGTCGCAGAAGAAGAAGGGGGAGTCAGGTCCTTCCCGCTGTATCGATCGTTCTCGCTCGAAGTAGCAGAATCTGAGATAAAAGAAAGAAAAACTATAATTAATCAAAGGAGAGAGCAAAAGCGAAGAACAAAGTGAAAAAGAATGGGGGAGAACACAACGAGAAGGACGAACAAAGGGCGTGGCCAGAATCGAGGAGAGGTTTGAGGGAAAGAGGAGGAACCCGAAAATTAAAAATTAACAAAACAAAAATTGAAGAGTTAAGAAGACTTACTCATAGCGAACAACGGAGAACTTGCGAAGAAGATGGAAAATTTAAGGTTGCGGGATGCTCGACGATTGCAAAGAGCTTCAGGGAGATGGAATGCGCAAGTGAAGAAAAGGAAAAATTCCCCTAAGTGTGGATATTTATAAGGACAAAAAATGAATAGGGAGAATTGCCAACCGTAAGATCATAAGGAGTGAAGGGCTACGATCAGGGGACAGATGAACAGACGCACAATTTCGGGCCGTAGGATTAAAGTAGAAAATCCAACGGCAGGAAAAGGAGATACGCAGAAATAAGGACGAGATTCGAGGCAACACATGCCACGAGGTCATAATGACCTCTGACAGGCGGAAAGGCGCATTCCAAAAAAGGGCGGACAAGTGGCGAAATTCAAAATTCAAAATCGCGAGAGGGCGGTTACTGAAAAAGGCGGTCGAGTAAAGACGAAATAAATACTGTGTGGTCGAAACAAGCGAAGCAGAGCCGCAGCGGCACAGACACCTTTTTACTCTTAGATCGAGTCATTCAGACTCGACCAGAGTGGGGGGACTAGAGATGATATGGGATATTATACAATAGACCGGTTCGTCGAGATAGTTAAATAAGATAAGTCAAATGGTCTGTTCGAATTGGATCGGACACCGGCAACAAGAGACAGAAGGTGGTGAGGAAGAGCAGGCTTAGAAGTGTTAGACAAGCAGTGGCTACTCGAGGAAAGATGGGGCGTGGTCGTACACCCGACCACCCCGTACTTGAGAGACAATTTAGCATTCGCTACAGGTTTGGTCGAGCAGCAGAATATACGAGAGAATCTCCAGCACGTGGAGGGAGACACGCGACGTTCTATGAGGGGCCCATGGCTAAAACGAACTCTGACATTCTCTGACAAATTGGACGCGTTCTCTGACGTCAAGGATAGTGGAGGCGCGCGGTTGTACGGATGAGCAGAGGGCGGCTGGCCAAACTCGCCTTACTCGCGCGTGTAGAACAGGTAGCTCGTTCCTATAAATAGGGACGAGAATCCTCACTTTTAGATACAATCTCTCATACTCTTACATATTTACATACACATATATTATCTCTCAAGATCTTACTTGAGCGTTGGAGGCTCTTCACCGGAAAACACCTCTGGTGTGGGAGTTTCGTGCAGGTTCCGGGTTCAACCGGCGAGGAGAACGAGCTTGAGGCGGTTTCCAGCCGGTCGGGGTGCGAGACTTGTATTAGTACTCTTAAAAAAATGTAGGATTTTTTAAATTGGACTATCTATTAGGCTATATTCCCAATTTATTAGAAAATAAATAAACAAAATATTGTTATTTGTTATGTACATTATTTTTATTTTTTTAATTTTTATTATTGAGTTATTATCTAGAGAAATGTCATGTACTGTAAAAATTATTAAAATTATTGATAAATATATATATATATAATTATATATAATACATATAAAATTAATAAAAAAATAATATATTAATTAAACCGGTTCGACCATTAGTTTGACCATTGAACCTTTGAACCAGTAGCCACACCGATTCGATGACCGATTCGGTTTTCAAAACCATGGTTATAACTTAAATATACCAATTCAATTCGAAGGTTTCCCATTACAGTATTGTCTAATACCACACCGTGGTCATAAGAGTGGTTGCATTAATAGTGTGCAAAGTAGGTTTTTTAAGAGAAGGTCTTATTAGTGTAAATCATCACTGTACATATTGGTCAAACACTTAGTTCAATAAAAGAAGTTGTAAGGGAGAATTAGACACTCTCCTTATGTATAATTTTTTGGCTTCCACATGTATGTATACATATACATACACTAAGTTACTCATTTTTTTTTTTATTTTTTTTTATTTTATTTTTTGAAAAGATACGCAAATTTGAAACTCATCTAACCTTGCTACGATGAGTTGGCAAATTCATAAAAAGTGTTGAACAAATCACCCTCTGAACATAAGTTGCTGATGCAGTTCACAACCAAAACAGGAGGCTGAACATTGGTCAATAGTGCTAAGAAACTTTTATCAAGAAATTCAACAGGTGAATGAACTTCAGTTGGGCTACAACTTTCTGTGTAGGAAGGACCTCATCAACAAGACAAACCAATGATTGATTACTCTAATAAAATCAAAGTCATACAACACATGAATTGGACCAAAAAAATTTCGATTCGGCAAAAAAGTTATTGGTACCGACGCGTCGAGAAAACGAGACCAACTATAAGACATTCGGTCGAAATGAAAGTTGGACGACTCCGAAACTACACCGGACATAATAATGCAGGTGAAAAAATAATATACGCAGAAAATATTTTACAGAAATTGAATGGGTAAAACACTATGATAATTAACTTTTCAACAATTCATATGATTATCAAGTAGTACTCAAAATAATTACTGAAACTAATGATGAATATTTTACTCCTAGAATATAATGCTGTTCTTGCTCTCAATATTAAATTTTAAAAACAATTTCATTTAAAAATACACTCAAAATATCAAGAGGTTCACCATGAATAAGACGACATGCAAACAAATGGAAAAAATTAAAAAAATAAAAATAAAAAAAAATGACCCAATTTCTTCGAGACCCAACTCATCCAGAAAATAACTCAAGAAAGGCCGCTATGGCAAACAAATCAAGAAAAAAATATAAGGCCATAATACCTAGTACAACCTCCCTCTGCACTGGCGAGAACCACAGAAGCAGTCCTTGGTCTTAATATTCCCATTCGCGTCCCGAACCGTGTCCGGCTTATAGTTATAGTCATAAGCAAGCTCCTCCCATGGCGGGATATCCCTAGTTGCGAAAAACATAATGTGTGGTATCCTCTTATCCGTGTGGTCATAACAAACGTCCTGGGCATACACATTAGGCGAGCAGCTATGGTTAATGAACCTCCCCACATTCCCATAAACCGCCCCATCTATAGCATACCCATCAACACGCCTACCACGGCTATTATATATGTCAAATAGATACTCGTCATGCCCCACTCTCAAATCTGCATCTTTGTCCCGCAAGAGCTCACCCAAATACTCGCACACGAAACCTCCCGATGGGATGAGCTCACGCGACCTCACTCCCCAACCCCGGCGCTCGGTTTTGAAAATCTCCAGCTCATACCTTAGCTTTTGCTGACCCACCCGATTCATGCAGGCGGGCGGGCACCCGCACAAGGGCCCACATTCGTAAATACGGGCTTTTCTCCGCAAAATTGCTCCTTTCTCATTGTAAGGGATCTCTCCCCCATTTTTCACGACACATGGGCACGGACGGGAATCCGAGCATCCGTTCAAGCAAGCACAACCAGACGGCTCGATTCGCTCATACCATTCGGGATAAACCATGCGCGTGATGTAAACGAACGTCGGTGGCTCCTGATCATCGACCTCGTTCACCACACGTATCGGCATTTTCTCCTTTCCGAGGGAAATATCATTTGATATGCAGACGCGCCTCTCGACTTTTTCCGATGAGAGCTGCTCGGGCATCCGGTGCAGTTCAAACTTGAACACAAGATTGCTCGTCCGGTTATCCTTTTCTTGCCAAACGTTGTTTATCGTGTAAAGCCCTTCGTACACGTAAGGTCCCTCCCGGCTCTTCCGTTTGTGGGTGACCCGAACGGGATACCTCGCCGACATGCTATTCATCAGTGCAAGATTTCCCCTCTCTAGTTTTTGGTCAGACGAGTTGTCGACGATCTTTGGGTTCCCGCCTTGGCCCGTGTACACCAACACATCAGGTGTTTTTGACGTGTTATCGTAACGGCCCGAGTCAACCACACTAACCGCATACTTCTTCCCATCAACTGTCACGTGATCTATACCACCAATTAACTGGCGATGGAGGCCAATAACCGCGAGTTGTGACCGAAACCGGAACTCGTCGCCGATTTCGACGCCCGGAATGTGGCCAAAGGGCTTTTCGTGTAGAAGGTACTTGCCTTCTCTCTTCAAGCGGTCAGCGGCTTCGAGATGGTTATATGCGGTTTTTTGCTCTTTTGCGGATTTGTTATAGTACTTTTCGAACAACCTCAAGGCCTTCATCACCTTGACCCCCTCGGGCTCCTCATGCTTCACGATACTCAGATTGATTAGGTCCTTCCGATTGTGGTCGTAGAATCTAGGGTCGTTATTGCTTTTTAAAGATGCACAATTATCCGAATCTGTTAAGCCAAGGACGTGATTTTTTTCTCCGCCTTTAGTTACTGTTGGTTCAATATCAGTATCATCTTTACGTTGTTGCCCAGATTTCATTCCTTTGACACCATTAGACTTCCCACTGAGGCACGATTGCAACTTGGTCCACTCTTCATGCGATAAAATGCAAACTTCATCTTCATAATTTTCCGAATTGGTCTGATTTGCATCTAAATTCTCTTGCACATTATTTTCTCCAGTCGACGTGCGTTTACGCAAGTTGTATGATGGGTTGGAAAACTTGACATCAAAGGCATCCAAGTAGCTTTTAGCCTCGGACAGAAGTGCAGCCAGTTTTTTTGAGTTGTGCTTCCATAACTCTCTTTGCGAACGAGCCTCATTCCCACTCTCTTTAGTTCTTTTTTTCCCACGCCGGACTGAACTTTTAGGGTCACAAATCACATTAACTGGCGGTAGACTTTTCAATGGCACAGCCGACACATTTTTTGCACCTTTAACCGGCATTTCACTTTCTCTTTCATTAATCTCATTGGTAAATTCTAACTTTGAACACTTAACATTGTTATTGGTTGAAGAACTAACACTGTCGGTCGAAGGGAGGCCACATGAATCAGATTGAGCTTTGGCCCTAGTCTTTGGTGGGGTTGTCCGAGCAGCGTTCAGCTTTCGGAGCTTATAATTCTCGTTTTTGGGTAGCCGTTGAGCGGGCATCTTTTGCGGAGGGCTTGAATCGGACACTAAGCTCATTGCCAGTGAAAGACACAAAATTCCTACAGCATTATTACACACAAAAATTACCAAAAGCTCGAATGAGATGAAATAATCATATTGTGCAAGGAAAACCTAGTAATTTCAAAGCTCAAGGCAAGTGTTTCGCAAACAAAATCGGAATCAAACATCGAATCGGATTTCCTTTTATGACTGAGCCTAGCCAACTTTGATCCATTAGGCACCTCACAGCAATGCTTGTGATATAAACAACAGCAAACATATAAGTAACAGCAAATAGTCCATAAAAAGGAAATAAATACTAATCAAATCAAAGAAATCTTCATTAGAACATACTCAACCAAAGTGTACAGAATAGTCAAAATGAAAATCTTCAAAATTGTGAAGATTCCAACAAAATCAAATCCCAGACAGAAAAATTAAATAAATATATAAATATAAATAAAAATTATATTGACAGAGCAAATCCATCGAACCACTACATTGTAATGAAATCAAGTCCCACACACATCAAGAAAGATAAAACCGAGAGAAGAAGAATTGAACAAATAAAGAACAGAAAATGCACATAGAAATAAATGACTTGTCGGGCTTTACAGACTTGGGATTTTGTATCGAACAATATTTGCAGTGGAGTTGAAATGAAAATGTGCAGGCAATGTGGAAACTTTGAAATCGCAAAAGCCAGAAACTTGGGGTATTTTTGGTTCGATGAGAGGGGAGGGGAGGGGAGGGGAGGTGCTTTGTTTAGAGTAATTATCTATTAGTATTAAAAAAACAAGTTTGGATTTATTTCAATTGTTCTCAAGTCTTAAAAATTCTTGAAAAAGAGATTTGCAGCCCTTGTGGTCATACCCGACTCGATTCTTGATTAGTTGGTTCACCTGTGAATCCGTAACCAGAAGATCCCTGTACCAAAAAAAAAAATATTTGATTTTACAATTATTGGTATTTTTTTTTAAATTGAAAATTGGGCAGCCAACTTTAAATTTGAAATTAAAACTGAGAAAATAAGAGATTATTTTTAGTAAGAATCGCGAAAATTTTGCTTCCAAAAACTTCGCTCAATTATTTCCTTAATTTTTTCTGATTAAACGTGTAAATTTGGTTACAAAAATCCGATTAATCATTTACCAAATAAAACGTTTAAATTTTTGTAAGATTTTTCTAAAAAGTCATGTCAACTTAATTGTTAAATATTTTTTTATCTATATTTATCTCAATACAAATCTCATATTTTATGGTCACAACAAAAAAAATTATATTTATCTGATAAAAAATATTACTTTCATAAAGTAATTTTCATATTGTGGATTCTTCAACTTAATTGATATATTATGTTTTATCCATATTTATCTAACTACAAAATCTCTTTTAAGTTTAGAAAGAATCTCATATTATATGGATTCTTGGTCGATAATTTTTTGTACATATCCATTGAACAAAGAGTTAGAATAAATATTGAAAAGGGAAAAAAAATCATAAGAAGATAGTAAAGAGCAGATATCGTACAAATTAATATTAAAAAAAGAAAGAAAAATATCGATACGACGAAAATCACACAACATATTTACAAAATTTGATGAGATTTAAATTTAAATATAAAATATATCACACATAACGAATTCAATGATATTTAATTTTTAATATAAAATCAACCAATAATTTATATCAATCAATAATTTATATGAATACAAAATATAGTCATATAACAATGTTAATGAATAGTTCTACATATTCTAAACTTTGAAATCACAAAAGCCAAAAACTTGGGGTATTCTTGGTTCGTGGAGAGGGGATGAGTTTTTTTTGGGTACAAAGAAGGCGGGCAGAAGCCCGAATATGCGAAATCCTACTGCGAAACTAGAACACGTCGCGGGTAAGCCACCCCATGAATATCGTGATTCAACCACTCACCCAGCCCTGAAGGCGGGTTTGTAACCTTTAGCACACCCAGCGGAGACGATGTCGCTATCTCTGCCAAATAATCAGCCACAAAGTTGGCTTCCCTATGCACGTGTTTAATCCGGATGTTCCAGTCTTCGTTCATCAAGTGGCGAATGGCACTGACCAAAGAATCATTAGCTCCGAAATTATCTTCCGAACCAAGAACCATTTTCGTCACACATAGGCTGTCCACCTTGGCAATTACTTTGCAAAATCCCAACTCCCAGGCCAGTTGGATTCCCTGATACAGTCCCCACAATTCGGCGCCCGTAATGGTACAAATCCCAATATTCATGACGAACCCCATAATCCATCCACTACGCTCGTCTCGAAGCATTCCTCCAGCGCTGCACATGCCCGTGGATCGACGACAAGCCCCATCCGTGTTGACTTTCACCCACCCCGTCTCCGGTGGATTCCACTTTATCATTCGATAATTATACACCGCAGCACCTGCTTTCGTGTAGGCTTCCAGCGCCTTTTAATATGACATCATATTTCGGAGAATATCCAAACACCGAGATTCGCAGCTGGGGGATAGTCCTTGGAAGATGCGCTCATTTCTCCACTTCCACGTGCTCCATACTGTAAATGCGAACGTGCAGCCCCAGTTTTTGTGCGAGATCGACTGCGCCCTTCCGAGGTTTTTCCTCAACCAAGGGTGAAGCGGTTGTTCGAAGAAGATGGAAGCTACATCAGCCGTGAGTAGCCTGCACCACAAGTTCCTAGTAATCGGGCAATCCCTCAGAGCATGCATAATGGTCTCGCTCTCACCACATATCTCACAGTCCGGCGATGAAGCAATGTGTCGCCGAACCCGTTCGCAATTTGTCAATAACCGCTCATTGGCAGCAAGCCATAAGAACTGTCGTACTCGTTGTGGCACTGGAAAGCTCCAAATCATTTTCCAAAGTATACGATCTGGGTCCCTCTCCGTTTGGCTTATAGCCGTGTAGGCTGACTTTGTCGAGAAATCCCCATCGTGGGAAGGACCCCTAATGATGCGATCATGACCAGCGCTAACTCGCGGTGGCGCGATCCCGGCCAGCCGCAGAATGATGACTGATGGGAGAATTCCGTGCAACAGGTCCCACTTCCAGTTACCTCGAGCATCTACGAATTCCACTACTGGTAAATGCAGCGTGCCATCGGGCGGCCATTGAGACACGTGATGAAGTAGTGGCCCGATACCTCCTACCCACGAGTCAATCCAAAATCAGACCGTCTCACCATTTCCAAGGTTCCACCGAACTTCTTTCACTATCTCGGGCCAGATCTTGCAAATGGCCTACATTAAGGGTGATCCTTGCCTGCAGCAGGGTTTGTCCAGAATATTCGATGACGATAGCCCATATTTTGCTGTCATCAGACACACCCATAGCGAATTCTTTCGCGACACGAGCCCCCAGCCTAGTTTCATCAATAATGCGAAATTCATTTTACGAAAGTTCCTGATGCCCAGACCACCGTCTTCCTTGGTTTTGAAAACTTCCTTCCACGCCACCAAGTGGATTTTTATTTTTTCTGTAGAACCACCCCAGATGAAGGCACGGCTCTACGTTCAAGACCCTCGGTAACAGAGTTCGGTAGCAAGGCCGCTTGCATAGAAAAGCAGGGCAACGAGCTAAGCACTGATTGGGTAAGAATGACACGCCCAGCCGTCGATAGCGACTTCATACGCCACCCAGCTAATCTACCTTCCGCCTTATCCAGGATATGCGAGAAAGTTGATTTGGCCACTCGACCGTGAATAACAGGGACCCCAAGGTATTTTCCCAGACTGTCCGTCCACTTAAACTGTAAAGCGTCCGCCAAATTACGTTGAACATCCATGCTCACATTTCGGGAAAAGAAGACTTGCGTCTTCTCCGAGCTAACCTTAAGGCCCGACACATTCCAGAAGAGGTCAAGGACTTGCTTAAGGCTCACAACCTGGTCATCTGCAGCCTCCATAAACAAAAAAAGATCATCAACGAACATCAAGAATGGCACAACAACCGACCCCCTACCAACTGAAATCGGCTTCCATATCTTCCCTTCAACCGCTTTGTCGATAATTTGTGCCAGTCTCTCCATACAAAGTACAAACACATACGGGGAAATGGGGTCACCTTGCCGAACTCTCCTGGTGGGCTGGAACTCCTCCCCTAATGTCCCATTCCACGCCAGTCGCATAGAAGCTGAGCGAACACATGCCATGATGGCCTTCACTAAGACAGCGGGGAAGCCGGCTAACTAGAGGGTTTTCTCTATGAAGTCCCAACGAAGGAAGTCATACGCTTTCTCTAGATCCACTTTGATGACCATATGACCTGTTCGACCCGTTTTACGGCGCATAGAGTGGATAAGTTCGTGAGCTACGACAATATTGTCGATGATCTGGCGCCCCGGGACAAAGCTGGCCTGGGCCGGATGAATTAAGCCAGGCAGGGACCCTTTCATACGGTTCACCAGCACTTCCGTGAAGAGTTTGTAGATGACATTAAGCTGGCTGATAGGTCGGAACTGCTTAAGAGTGGAAGCATTCGCGATCTTGGGTATAAGGACTATAAGGGTTTGATTAATATCGTTCGGTACCACACCATCACGCCACATTTGGCGTAGAAGCTCACGCACCGACGGTCCCACGATGCCCCAATTCTTTTTAAATAATAATGAATTTAAGCCATCAATTCCCGGGGCCTTTAAGGACCCCATATTTTGGAGGGCTGTAAAGATTTCCTCGTCTGAGACGTCACTTTTGATGTCACGCACCCGATCTACGTCAATAAACAGGGAAAAGATAAGGCAAGGGTGGCACCAAAGCTGTGGGCGTCTTGCCAGTATATATTTTTTTGAAGAAATCGGTTGCAAGTTGTTGAAGGTCTTGTTGGTCAGTCACAAGGCTACCTGCTTCATCCAACAACTCCGTGATGCGCCCTCTTCTCCTCCGGAATTTCAGTTGGCGGTGGTAGTACGAGGTATTTCTATCCCCTAGGTACATCCAATCTCGTGTTGGTTTTTGGATAAGGAGCAATTCCTCTTGGAGAATGACT